ACTTGCTCAACTGTGCCAAGGCCCACAAGACATTGGCAAAGCCTTGGGGAGCCCAGGGTCACCTCCATGCCCCCATGAGGTATCAGAGGAGGGACAGCTGAAAATGATTATAGGATGAGATCATTGACAAATTTTTTTTAAAGCATTATCTACGTGTCCTCTACCCTAATGCACTGTGGATGCTGTCATTAGAAGGGCCCCTTTATGAATGGATGAGGAATTTGTTGGTAACAAGGGAGCAAGGGAGTGACATTGAAAGACAGCATCAACCTCAGGTGCCTGTTCACCATGCAGGACGTGCCAGAAGTTGCCAGTGGGCCGCAAGCAAGGACAAGAACGGCCCTTCCCCTAAGTGGGGAGGGCAGGAGGACCAGGGCTGGTTGGGATTGGGGTCGGGAAGAGAAGAGGCGGTCCCTGAGTAAAGAAAGGGAGGGTGAGAGCATGAGAACGTGTTATAGAAAATGCTTTGGGACTTGGAGTTTTACTCTTGGAATTTTCCGTTGACCCAGCATCATGCACCATCCCTGTCCAGCCAGAGCGGATGTTAAGGAGCAACACTAGGTCAGTGGAAAGAGCCCGGCCTCAGTCTACCTTTCCAGTTGCTTTATACATCACTCTCCTTCACACACTCATCAATCCAGGCCAACTGGCCTCATACAGGGCCAGGGGGGTTATGAGGCTCGAAGAAGACCGTGAATGTAGAGCACATTGCAAACCCTAATGCGCTCAGTTATTAATATTATTATTATAAGACCAGCTTATTTATTACCAGCTAGGTGGCGCCATAGTGCACAGATCTCTGTGCCTAGAGGCAGGAAGAGCAGAATTCAGATCTAGACTCTTATTAGCTGTGTAACCTTGGGCAAGTCACTTAACGTTTGTCTGCCTCAGTTTCCTCAATAGTAAAATGGGGGTAATAATAACATCTACCTCCCAGGGTTGTTGTGAGGGTCAAATGAGATAATAGCTACAAAGTGCTTAGTGCAGCGCCTGGCAAATAGTACATAAATGCTTATTACTTTCCTATTATTATGAATAATAATAATAGGCTTCCAAGTCTGATGAGGACTTCATTTCCTGAACCTTCTATTGCACTCCTGCTGAGCTCAAGCAAGATTTATAGGGTGATATAGGAGTGTATTGGTAAACATTTAACAACCAGGCTGGGGGTGGGGGTGGGAAGGGAGGCAGGAAGGATGGAGAAGAATGTATGCAAATCCTGTTAACACTTTCTCCGTCACTTTCTTAAGTCTGGAAATCAACAAAATGATAAATCATCCTGATTGGTAGGGGTTGCTGATTTCTGAGATGTAAATTTTCACACTGAAAATTTCACAATAGGTCTAGCAAGTCAGAGCCGGCTCCCACTCTGGGATGTTCCAGAAGTCTTAGTACAGTTTTCTTGTGTAACTCTGCCTTCTGAATCATAGGAGAAACATTCAGTTTGTTCGTCAAGTCCAGTTTTACTGGACTCTGAAGCTTAGGAAATTTAGGGTGAAGATAACTCTCTTAGAGCACTGGACAACAACAGAGTTTGCTAGAGTGATGGCATCCCTACGTATATAGGAAACACCTTGTATATGACCTTCCAGCTCCCATCTCTGGGCCTTTGCACTGGCTGTCCCCCATGCCAGGCATGCCTTCCCTTTCCACATCCCTAGTTTCCTTCAAACCTTAGCCAATTCACCACCTCCTTCCTATAGCAGGTCATTCTTTAACCCCTATCTTTCAGCTGCTAACACCTCCACGATAAAAAAAAAAAAACACCTTGTATTTGTTTTCAGTAAAAGCTTACATCTGTTGTCTTCCCCGTTAGAATGCAAGCTTCTTGAGGGCAGGGGCATCTTAAGAGGTGACCAGCAGCTTTCTTGCTGATTGATTGATTGGCCTTGAAGACAGAATTACATAGGTTAGCGGTCCGGCTCCGATATCTGGTGCCACCATGGCTCACTTAGCCACAGCCTTCCCTAGCCTCAAAGAATCAGAGATTGAGAGGCAGAAGGGAGCTTAGAGGCCATCCAGGCCAACCTCCTCATTTGACAGATGAGAACACTGAGGCACAGAGAGCTCATGTGATTTGCCCAGGGCCACATCCTAAACAAGGAGATCTGGGGACGGGAAGGGGGTCCCACGTGAAGGGTAAAGGCAGGGAAGGGTCAGAGCCCAAGCCTAACCCTCGTCTCCTTTGCTTCCAGACCTCGGGAGCATCTACCTGCAGGACAACCTCCTGAATGGGCCCTTGCTGGAGGGCAGCCTCCAGGCCTTCTCCTCCTCACTCTCCTCATCTCTGCCTGCCCCTGGCCTGCCTGCTGAGAGCTGGGACTCCCCTGAAGAGCCGTCTACAGCGGGACCATGGCCTCCCAGCCCTGAAAAGCAGCAGCTGTTGCTGCTGCCAGGAGAATCAGATGCTGGCGAGGGCCAAGCCCAAACAGAGTCCAGGACCCAGCTCCACGGCTCTCTCCACTATGTGGACAGCAGCTCCCTGTCAGAGGATGAGGTCTTCTATAACTGAGGCCAGGCCCTAGGCTGGCACTGGGCTGGGCCAGAGGAAGACACCGGTGGGAAGAAGGAGGATCAGGGCCCCCTCCTTTCTTCACTGACCCCATTGACCTACCTGCCCTGATGCTCATACCATGCCAAGGGGTGACACATGGGGCCTGCTTGCCCCATCAGCTGTGGCTCAGGACCACAGGGCATCAGAGTTCCCAATGTCTAGAGATGAGGGTTGCTCCCCTGTAGTGCACAGACTCATGCCTCTCTTTGGGTTCTCTGATATCATGATGAGATGGGCAAGTCAGGCACCACATAGGCATGGGGCCATGGTGGAGTCATAAAGACTCCTTAGGAAACCAATCGGTGCCTCAGTTTATCCCCTTGTTCAATGGGAGCCATATCCCCTTATCCCTTTCCTTTCCCTTTCTGTTTGGAAGTTAAGCTGGCTCAGGAGTCTTCAAGATGCCCCTCCTTCCCACAGCCTGTGACTTTCTTAGCCCTTCCTTGGGGCCCAGCAGAATACTGAGCTCTGTGACATCCAGCATTGCCCCTGAAAAGTCCCCCTGCCACCTTCTTAGTGGGGGCATGGAGGGCAGTGGAAGGTAGCAAGGGATTGAGTGGGGTGTCTGAACCACTGGGTTCCATCCTCAGTTTCCCCACACATCTCACACTTCTATGGGGGGGGGAAGCTCTGTCTAACCCCTCACTCCTTCTATGCTTCTTCCTGCCCTCTTCCCCCAACCCTCCTATGAGGTGATGACTCCCTCCCCTGGCAGCTAAAGGCCCCCCTCTTGTCACTGTGACCGTCCGTCCACCCTCACACTGTAGCACTTCCTGGACACCCCAGGGGTTGGCTCCCAAGTTACTGGAGATCCCTCCCTGACATGTCCCAACAGGGCCCCCTTCGTGGACAGTCTTCTCTCTCTCCACCCTATCCCTCCCTTCCCCTACCCCCACGTTCTCTGAAGACATTAAAGTGGTGGATTTGCCCAGTAGCTAACATCTTGATCTCTTGGGGAGGGGGTAATTCTTGGGTCCCTAGCTCCATCAGAACCTCCATGTAGACATGGCAGAAACCTTATTGGGGAGCCAACCTTGGCCAGAGCTATCCTTTACTGTGATACCCAACCAACTGAGGCTTGATCTCCTGTGTGTGAGCTACACTCTGGACACTGCCTTTCACCAGCTGGGCTAGCAGCAGACAAGGGAGAAAAGCTTACTTATACCTGAGGCCAACCCTTCTGCTGGGAAGTAGAATAAATAAGGTTCCATATTCTAAGATCAGAGATCTTGCTGAAATGAAAATCACTGGAAACCCAGAAGTTCAGCTTCATCTTCCCTAGCCACAGAATTTTTGGGGCAGCACAATGACTATTGCATAGGATGGTTGGGAATGTGGGGGATGGGGAAAAATCAGCATTTTTACAAGGCAGGGAAGGAGGCATAGGCTGCTGAGTCCCACCTCAGCTCCTCTCCCTCGTGACAGAGGACCAGAGGTGCCCAATGGACACTCCCAGGATCCTGGATGTTTGCCCAATCTTTTCTATAGAAGATGTTCTACCCTGGGTGGGCCATTGTAGCTAGGGGAATGGGGCAGAATCTGCTCTGATCTCTAACCCCTTGCAGGAAGAAAACAAAAAAAGAATTTGCTAAAGCTGCCCTTGGAAATTAAAGGAGAGTGAATGTGATGGAGTGAAAGGAACCCTGGGGGCCTGGATTCAAATCTAGATTTCTGCTACTTCCCACTTTGCATGACTTTGATCTAATCACTTACCCTAGCTGGGTTTCAAACATTTGCAAAATGAAGAGATTCTGTGTAATACACCAAGCATTTATTAAGCGTGCACGCGGCATCAGGCTAGAACAGAGCCCCTAAAGGCCAAATAGACAGCGATCTCTACCTTCTAGGAGCTTACATCCCCCTGAATTGGGCAAGATGAGCTCTGAGGACCATGACGATTCTAGACCCTATGACCCAGAGGAGAAGGGAGTGGACTTAGAGGTGGGGGCTGTGTCAGTGAAATGAGATGCAGTGAGCCCAAGGGCTGTTAGTAACACAAACCACAGAGGCAGTGGTAGTAGCAGCAATAGCCTGGTTCCTTGATCAAGATAATAGGACAGGGCTGGTGGGCTCCACACCCTTCTCCTCCAGCAGGCCACCTTATTTAGGAGCTGAGGGGTTTGCCAGGTCAGCAATGGCCTTCTCCAGCTAGAGGAAAAGAGAAAATTGGTATGGGTTGTTTGAGGGTGGAAGGAGATTACTCAAAAACCAAATAAAAGTGCCCCTCTGGTCCCAACTTCCTGAAGATTTTTCCTCTTGGCCTGGCCTGGGATCTGGAATCAGATCCTAGAATCAAATCCCCGCTAGGAACCCTGAGACCTGATTGCCCCTTGCACAAGGAGCTGACCTAGAGACTCCATGAAACAGGGTCCAGACTGCGACCCACTGGAGTTGCTTCACACCACTGTCCATCCCTGCCTGCTTCCTCCCTCCCCATCCCTGGTACCTCCACCCAGGAGATGAAGCCCACCATTCGGCCCATCGATGTCACCAAGATCCTCTGCATTTTCAAGAGTTCAAAGAGGTTGTGGACCTGGGGAAGAGAGAGGTGGGTTCAGTACTGCAAAGGGGAGGGATCCTGGAAGGGTGAATTTAGCAAAGCTCCAAGGAAGAGCTGAGCAATGGGGGATGTGTTGTAAGAGAAAGGACTCTTATATCCCCTTTGGCAAGACTCTCCTTCACATTGTGCCTCAGTTTCCCCAGGCTGAAAAGGTAGAAATGGGGGGGGTTGAACATAAATCCCTGTAATTCCCAAACTGGCCAGCAGAGGCCACCCTGCTCCCACAAAAGAACCTTTCCAGGTACAGGGAATTAGGAGGCTGGGAACTGGACCACAGGACAGGGCATACAGAGGGAAGGGAGCTTAGAGAAGGTCTAGTGTGTCCCCCTCATTTTACAGAGGTGGGAACAGACTCAGAAAGCTGAGGTCTCTTGCCCAAAGTCTAAAGTGTACAGACTTCTGACCTAGGACGAGTCACTGACTGTGGGCTAGTCAGCACACATTTATTGAGCGCCTACTGTATGCCAGGCACTGTTCTAAGCACTAGGGGTACAAAGAACGGCAAAAACTTTCCCTGCCCTTGAGGAGCTCACACTGTAATGGGGGACACAACAAGTAAATCACGAGGTACCAACAAGATTGATGCCAAGTATCTAGACAGAGTAGGTGGGGATGAGGGGGGCAGGGAGTAGGTGAGGCAGCTGGGTAGTGCAGTGGGTAGGGTACTAGACCTGGAGTCAGGAAGACCTCACACTTACTAGATGTGTGAATCTGAGTAAGTCATTTCACCTGTTCCTGCCTCCGTTTCTTCATCTATAAAATGGGAATAATACACCTACCTTCCAGGGATGTTGTTAGGATAAAACTCAATAGTATTTGTAAAACACAATATAAATGCTAACTATGATCTCTAAGATCTCTGGTTCTACATATACAATCCTATGAATTTTCCTTACCCCTCCCTTCTCCCTGTGCTGACGATGGTCCGAGGGCCAATACGTAGAATTAACAAGAACAACTTGTTCTTTATGCCTCCCAAACCACCCTCGTCTCCTTACCAAGGTGTCCCTGGCAGGTGAACAGGGCAGAGATTATTATCCCCACTTCACAGATGAGCAAACTGAGGCACACCTCTGGTTCTCCTCTAAAAGGCTCTGATGTAATTGAGATTGTCCACTTTTGCCTTGAGTGAAGTCCTTGGGTTTAAAGGGATTCTTCTGAAAAACTCAATCCACTAGATCCTTGTTTCCCAACCCAACAGGGTTTCCAGGCCAGCAAAAGAAACTTTCAGGAACTCAGGTGGTAGAGACCAGGAGCCAGGGAGAAGTATGAGTAAAGAGGGAGGGAAGATCAGTACATGGGGAGCAGGAGCAGACCTTGGCTTCTAACAGTTTTATTTATGGCTAAAATTTTACCTCAAATCTGTGCCAATCATGAACTGGCATTTCAATCAATTGATTTATAATTCAAATTATAATTTATTTATAATTAATTTATTAAGTGCTAATTACGTGGTAGGTGCTGTGTTTGGTGCTGGAGATATAAATATAAATGAAAGAGCTCAGCCCCAGCCTTCAAGGAGTTTACATTCTACCAGAGAAAGGAAGAAGCGTTTACATAGAACTTCCTATAAGCCAGGCACTTGACAAATATTATTTCATTTGATTGTCACAAAGACCCTAGGAGATATTATCCCCATTTTGCAGTTGAGGAAACTGAGGTGAAGAGACTTGCCCAAGGTCACACAGCTAAGAAGTATCTGAGGCTGTATTTGAACTCAGATCTTACCAACTCCAGCTCTAATGCTCTATAATAATTGCTAACATTTATATAGTGCTTCCCATGCATCAATCACTGTGCTAATCAATTTACAATTATCCTATTTGATCCTTATGACAACCTGAGAGATAGGTGCTGTTATTAAACCCAATTTACAGATGAGGAAACTGAGGGTTAAGGGACTTGCCCAGGCTCACACAGGTAGGAAGTATGTGAGGCCACATTTGACCTCAGGTCTTCCTGATTCCAGGGCTAGTACTCTGTCCACTGAGCCACCGGATCTTATTAAGAGAACATTTCATCAAAATAAATCTCCACAGTGACCAGCCACCCTTCCAAAGCACTCATGAGGAAACATGCTATCTACCTCCAGAGAGAGAACTGATGGACTCAGACTGCAGACTGAAACAGTTTTTTCCTTTTTCTTTTTCTTGCTTTTTTTTGAATGTGGCTAGTGTAGAAATTTGTTTTGCATGACTATACAAATTTGGGTTTTTTAAAATAACTTTTTGGTTTTTAATTATTATTAAAATGTATTTTTAATTTATGGAAAAAATAAGCATTTCCATAACATAGTACAAAACATGATTGCACGTGAAATTGCAAATCTATCATGAACAATTTGCTATTCCTTTCAAATGTACAACAGAATGATCGTGTGTATTTCTTTTTTTTTCTTCAAATTTGTAATAGGTTTTATTTTTCTTGCCTTCTCATTAGGTAGGGGGAGAGGATTTGGAATTGAAAAACAAATTTAGTCTCTGTGCTTAAAAAAAATTTTTTTTCAAAAAGAAAGAAAAAATGCATATACAATGCACCTAAATGAATCCCTCTCTGGTGCAGCAGACTCACAGGACATTAGAGCTTAAGAATCCAGTAAAATGGTTCCTTGAGGGCAGGAACCATTTCATTTATTTTTTCTCCTTGTATCGCCAATGCACAATGGCTGGCACATGGGAGGTGCTTGCTAATGAATGTGTGTTGAAATTGAAGCTAGATGTCCATCCCATTCAACCTTGGCATTTTACAGATGGGGAAAGTGAGGTCCAGAGAAGGGAATACTTGCACAAAATCACATAGTTAGCAAATGACTGAGCCAGGGCTGGACCTGAATCCAGGTTCTCTAACTGCAAGTCTCCAGCCTGCAGCTCACTGCCTTCCCTTAGCTCTGTTCCACGCTCTTTGAAATACCTTCCTGGTAGCACACTGCTCTCTGCCGCCCCCTAGCGCATGCCTACTTAGTTACCTGGTGTAGGGAAGTCTGGGGTGACACCTGCAGGGTCACAGGTTCCACGGGGCAGCCCCCAGCCAGGACCTCATGGAGACGCCACTTGGAGAGTGAGAAAGGGAGGGGTGAGGGAGTGGCAGCCAAAATGTCCTGCCTGTTCCATCCCCGCTACACCTCCCACCAGACTGGACTAGATAGAAAGGACACGGGAGAGATTCCTCCCTCTGTCTTTCCTCCCTCCCTATTTCCTCTCTTCCTACCTCCTTCCTCCCTCCCTCCATCTCGCCCTTCCTTTTTCTTTCTTTCTCCTCCTTCCTTCCTTTTCTTTCCTTTTCTCTCTTCATTCATTCCTCTCTCTTTCTTTTTCTTCCTCCTTTTCTTCCCTCCCTCCTTCCTCTTTTTCTTTCTCTTCCTTCCACTCTTCCTTCTTTCCTTCCTTCCTTCCTTCCCTCCTGCCTCCCTTCATTCTTTCTCTCCAAACCTGTGATTTTATCATATATGGAGCTCCTGGTGGAGAATGATCTCTGTCAATGCAGAGTTTATACAGTCTCTGCAAATTAGAGAGTCCTCTGGGCGATGAAGAGATTGAGTGCCTTACCCAGAGTCACATAGTCCTTATGTGTCAGAGGTGGGACCCCAATCCAATTCTTCCTGACTCCACTGAGAGCTCTATGTATGAAACCACACTGCCTACCCATAGTGAAACTTTTGGACAGGTTGCCAGTTGGAGGAGGGGTTCCCTGTTGCTCCTTATGGCTTTGAGTCCCTCCTCCTCCCACCCCTGACCCCAGCATCTGCCAGCCCAGTCCATCAAGCCCTCCCATGGCCTCAGCCTTCTCCCCTCTCTCCACATTATGCTTCCTCCTTTAGAAGAGAGATTTGGATATCTCCTCCCACCACCCTTACCTTGGGTGGGTGGCTAGGCTTGGGCATTGCCTCCATCCCCTTCACCCACCTGGTGCCTGCTTGCCTGGATGGTTGGCTCTGCCTGGAGGAATGGCAGCAGCTGGTCCCTACGGATGATGCCCACCAAGAGCTGGGATTCTGGACCAGGAAAGAGAAAAGGGGAGAGGAGACAGGAGCATTTGGTTGGGTGAGAATTTGGGTCAGTCCTCACTGAAACTGGGTGGAGGGACAGGGCAGGGCAATGCCCTCCAGAAGAGCTGGAAGAGATAAAACAGTCCATTGAGGGAGGAGCAGGAGAAGGGGAATTAAAGGGGAGGGGGGACCTTTGTGGAAAGACCCAAGGTGCTTTTCTTCTGGTCTCCCCACCAGCCCTGGCTTAGAATCATAGAATGTCAGAGCCGGGGGGACCTTGTGGCCTTCTAGAGCAGTGGTATCAAACTCACATAGAAATGGGGGCCACTAAATGATGCATAAAATCCCTGACCGCACATGTCGGCCTAGGAAACCACATATTAACATCATTTATGTTCTGTTGCATTTTTGGTTTGTTTTGTTGAACATTTCCCAATTACAATTTAATCTAATTTGGCGCCCCAGTCACAAGTACTGAGTGTTTGCTACCTTTGATTTTTCCTAGTCACATAGCTGGAGTGGAATTGACCTAGGTTACTGCCCTAGCTATTTATCTGTCTTTCCTGCCTCCTGTCTACCCCCTCTGTAATCGTCCCTCACCCCACTGCTCAGATAACCTCCCCACTCCTCTGCAAACCCAAAAGCACTACGTGAAATGGTAGCTCCTGGGAGGCATTCTGGGACAGGGGAACACAGGAGTAATCTGGAGTTGTGAACCTGTGGCCAAATCCTGTGTGAGTCTGGTCATGTCCCTGGCCTCAGGTTGCTTTGTCATCTGCAAAATGAGGACTCCCCAGGGCTCTTCCATCTCCACATTTGTGAGCCTACAGTCGTCTATTCAAAAGCCTTCAGTGACTCCCAGAGGTCCCCAGAGCAAGCCTGATCCTGGCATTCAAAGCCTTCTATGCTGTCTCATCCTTCCTTTTCTCAGTTCATTCACATCACTTCCTCTCATGGACATTGTCCCAGCTGAACTGGACTTTTAGCCTTGAAGAAACCTCAGAGACCAACCAGTGTGAGCCATTCCTGATCCACCAATCCCCTATAAAATAGCCTGGGCCCCCATGGAAGCTTCTCATCCCACCTTGGGACAGCTCGAATTGCTAAAAAGCTTCTCCTGACACTGAGGCTAAGGCACACTCTAGTCTCTCTGTCTCTGTCTCTGTGTTTGTCTCACTCTATCTCTCTCTGTCTCTCGTTGTCTCTGTCTCTCTCTTGTTTCTACCCATTGCTCCTACCTGCCCCTGCTCTCAGGGGCCAAGCAGACTAAGGCTAGCCCATGGGCTAGCCCACACCCACATTGGAATGAACTCCCCAACTCCATTTGGAGAATTGCTTCTCTTCCTTCAAGGTTCAAATCAAGTATTCTGCACTCCTCCATGAAGCCTTCCTGACCATCTCCTTCTCCATCAGGGGAAAAGTAGTTTTTCCCTCTTCAAATTACCTATTACACAATTAAGTGTAATGATACCATGGGTGATAATACGGGTCACCATAGATATAGACAGAAGGACCTCAGAGATCATCAAGTCCAACACTCTCATTTTACAGAGGAGGAAACTGAGGCTCAAGAAGTGACTTAGGACTGTAGATGTAGAGCTGGAAGGGCCCTCAGATGCCATGAAATCCAAACCCCTCACTCTACAAAGGAGAAAATTGAAGCTGAAGTGACTCAATGAGGTCACAAAGGTAGCTGGCATCTCAGGTGGGATTTGAATTCAGGTCCTCTGGCTAAACATACTATACTATTTGAATCTCTCCATTATACTTCATCACCCTTGCCCTTGTATCTTAGTTATGTGGGTATTTAGCCTTCTTGCCATCAGAAGTCCTTGTGGGCAGGGTCAATGTTGTATCTTTCTATCTTGGTAGCCCCATGTTAACCATAGCACCTTGTATACAATACATGCTTAATAAAGGTCTCTCCTGCTTCCATCCCAGCCTTTTCTCCTCTAGGCAGGAGGCTGGGGGAAAGGAAAGGGAATGCCCAGCCTTATCCCTCCCAGAGGTCACCTTCACTCTCCACCAGGGGGTATTCAGCAGCTTCAGTGGAGGTCACAGTTTGGACCACCTCGTCCAAGGAGGAATCTTTGGCCAGGGTGGTGATGTTTGGGTTCATGAAGAGCTCAGCAGTTACCCAGTAGGAGCTGTGGGCAAAGGAGACCCAGTCAGGGAAAGAATCAGGAATGACCCCCTGAGCAGAAATATGGCATTTTTGCTGCCATGGGAATCTGGAGAGGAGGGTGTCATGGCACGGGGATAGGGGAGACTCCCTTTGGTCTAGGCCAGAGACAGAAGATGTAAGGAATCACTAGGGCTGTGTAAGGATTACTAGAGCTGGAGGATCCCTCAGAACACAGGATGTCAGAGCTGAAAGGGTTGACATGCTAGAAGAGCCCTTAGAACATAGAATGTCAGAACTGGAAGGGTCCTTAGAACAGAGAATATGAGAGCTGGGTATATCCTTAGAAGGCAGAATATCAGAGCCAGAAGGATTGTGGGACCATAGTCCTAGAGGTGGAAGTGCTTTTCAAGCCTCTCTAGTCCAAACCACTCATTTTACAGGTAAGGAAACTGAGGACCAGAGAGGAGAAATTCCTTGCTCCAGGTCACATAGTTAGCAGCAGAGAGCCCAGGTCCTCTGCCTCCAGGCCAGTGCTCTTTGCAGGACAGCAGACCCTAGGAGAGAGTCCTAGGCCTTCCTCCCAGCCCACCAGTCAGTTGGCAATGGTTAGGACTCACTTGAGTTTGCGGCCTAGGACCCGGGGCAGGTAGGGAAGCTTCTTCAGGATGATGCCATTATCGTAGAAGGAGGGCTGGCAGTTCTGACACACAGCATTGGCTGCCAGCACAGCCATCAGTACTGGCAGCACGTGGACAAACTGGCCTGTCACTTCAAAGGCTAGCAAGGCTGGGGAGATAGTGTGAGTCACTGCTCCTGAGAAGGCAGCAGCTCCTATCAAGAAGTTGAGGGGAAAGCAGAATACAGGCTGAGCTAGCAGTTAGCCCCAGACCACCACAACTCAATCCCCTCTGTACCTCCTGGAACCTCTGAGTTTAACAGGGGTGCTGGGGAGGAGTCAACACCCAGCACTGAAGGCCTAAATCAGAGTGAGCCTGAGACACTCCCAGGGGAAGGGAAAGATTTTGTCCTTAAGCAAGATTGGCCTTGGACCAGAGCCTGCCCCATGGTTCCCGTTCATGTGACTCTGAGGCCAAGCTTAGCATCACTCTCCAGCCACAAGCAGGCTCTCCTCAAACTGCCCCACAGGCTCAGGCATGGTTAATGCTCTTTGTTCCCACAGGGAAATTTACCTGCCAGGGCATATGCACCAGGGATGATGGTATTGATGACCCCGTCATCAGTCTTGATGCCCTCTGGGAAGATGACAGCTAGAATCTCACCAAAAATTCGTCCAATGCTGGCCCCTGGCAAAAGTTGGGAGAGAAGTGAGGCACGATCTGCTCTACTGCCCTAAAGGCCTTGAAGTCTTTCCATGTGCCCAAACTGTCCTTAAGATAAAATTATGGAGCAGAGCACCCTCAGTCAGACAACTCCCCAGAGCTCTAGTCTTCAGAATCACAGAAATACAGATTCATAGCATTTAGAGTGAGAAGGGACCTTGGAAGTCATTGAGTTTGTTTTACAGATGAGGAAACTGAGGCCTATAAAGTGTAAGTGCCTTGCCCAAGGTCACATGGAGGGAGGATCATAGCTTCAGAGCTGGTCTCTACAAACCAACTCCCTCATTTACATATGAGGAAAATGAGAGCCTGGGTCACACATCTAAGTGTCAGAGGCATGATTCACACCTAGGTCTTCTTGCCTCCAAGTCTAGCATTCTTTCCTCTATTCCAAAAATCTAGGGCATCTGGTCCTTTGTGCCTGAGCAGGAGTCCCCTCTACAACGTCCCCAACCAGAAACCTTCCAGGCTGTGCTGCAAGACTTCCAGGGAAGGTGATCCCACAACTTCCCGAGTTTCCACTTTTGCATGTCTCCAACTGTTAACAGAAAGTTTCCTTGCATTGAATTAAGATTTGTCTTTCTGTAACCTTCCATCCAGGTGCCCCCTTCAGGGTGGGCACAGTGCACAGTGCACAGGGCTAGGAGTCAGGAAGACCTAAGTCCAAATACAGCCTCTGACACTTACTAGCTGGGTGACCCTGGGCAAGTCACTTCACCCTGTTTACCTCAGTTTCCTCAACTGTAATGAGCTGGAGAAGAAAATGGCAAACCACTCCAGTGTCTCTGCCAAGAAAACCCCAAATGGGGTCATGGAGAGTCAGACACAGCTGAAAACAACTGAACAACAATGACCTTCCACTCACTGGTGCTTAGTTCTCTCTCCTGGAGCCAAGCAGAACACGTCTTCCTACTTCCATGTGACAGATCTATAAATACCTGAAGACAACTATCATGGTCTCTCTTTTTCACCCAATCAGTCCTAGGATAGCATAATCTCCAGTCCTCTCCTCACCATCCTGGTTGCTTTCTTCCTGTGCTTCATCTTGACAATGTCTTCTCTATGATGTGGTGCCCAGAACTGAAGAGGATATTCTAGATGTGGTCTGCCCAGGACAGCATGCATTGGGACTTATCACCTCCCTCGCTATGGATACTATGCCTCCCTTAATATGACCTAAGGTCACATTAGCTTTTGCAGCTGCCGTAATGGCTAGCACCATTTCTTACGTACAGGACATATTCTGCAAAGGTTTACCGAGTGAATAGCTTTGAGAGCATCTGGCAGGCAGCCCATTCCCAGGTCCCAGGACTCTTCCACATAGAATGGGTATGGTACCAACCACCTCTGGGCCCTCCAGACTCACCATAGATAAATACAGGCAGAAAGTACCCAGCTGGCATGGGTATTGTGGTGGCGAGAATCAACATCCAAAACTGTGGGGAGAGGCACGGTCCTAAGGGCACGCTGGAGGGAGATGCCCAGCAGGGGGAGATGTGAAGGAGGCAGAGTGAGGGGGCTGAATGAGGGGATGATTTGGGGCTGGGTGTTGGTAGGATAAAGGATGTTGGCAGGGTGGGAAAGTGAGCTATGATGGAGACAGCTGGGAGAGGGGAGTGTCCAAGCCAGACACCCAACACCCACATAGAGGTCTAGCCACCTCAAGTCTCTGAGTAGTTCATTGGCTGAGAGCCGGTAGGAACCTCAGAGATTACTGCGTGAGGTCCAGTCCCCTCCTGCTGCAGAGGAGTCAAGGAGGCCTGGAGAATAAAGTGACTTGCCTCCTTTCACACAGGGTCTAGGTGTCAGAGCTGGGGTCTAACTCAGGCCTTCTGGCTCCAGAGCCCAAGCTCTCTCCACCAGCCTGCCCAGGCTGGCCCAGCTAGAGCCTCAACAGCAGTAAGCCAGGGTGGTTAGGGGAAGGAAGTGGGTAGAAGAGGTGGCATCTAAGTGGGGAAAATGCCAGGTTAGAGAAGGTGGCAAGGAGGTAAGTGGGGACACGTACCTTCATGGCCAGGAAGAAGGCGAGGGTGCCAAAGATGGTAAACTGGGGATGGTACCACTCAAACCATAAGTTGTTGGGGTCCACTTCTGCGGGCCATTCAGGGGAGGAATTCCGGGAGAGCAGAGCCCAGGATTGGTTGTCAAATAGTGAATCCAGGTACAGATTCATAGACAACTAGGGGTAGAGATGGGAGTAATAATTCTCACAGATATCGCTCCCTGCTCCCCCCACCACTCTCTCTTTATATCTCCCCCTACCCAAGGCCTGCAGACTTATCCAGGGAGTCTTCACTGTCCACTCCTGCTGACCCCTGGCCACAGTGATGTTGACCTCTAAACTATTGGACCAATTAACTATCTGGGCTCTTCACATCCAGAAGCAACTGGTAGTACAATGCATAGAGTGCTGGTCCTGGAGTCAGGAAAACCTGAGTTCAAATCCAGCCTCAGACCCTTATAAGCTATGTGACCCTGGACAAGTCACTCCACTTCTGTCTACCTCAGTTTCCTCAATTATAAGAGAGAGATAATAAGAGCCCCTACTCCACAGGGTTGTTGTGAAGATCAAACAAGATAATATGTATAAAGGGCTGAGCACATGCCTGACACATAATAGGCACTTAATCGATGTTTGTTGCCTTCTCTTCCCCTCACTTGGCACTCAGCACTTGCTGTGTGATGTAGTTGGTGCCTGGGGGTCCTTGTCTCCCCACCTAGACTGTAAGCTCTTTGAGGGCAGAGAGCCTAGCTTATACTTTCTGTAATAATGGGCTCTGGTGAGGTATAGGGGGGAAATCAATGGACTTAGATTGAGGGGATCTCACTCCACCACCTCATTTCTCTCTTACCCTGGAGGCCATGAATCGTCCCAGGCTGTGTGGGTAGGTGATGGAAGCCAGAAGCAGGGCCACCAGGGCTGAGTACACAGGCTTGCTGGAAGGGAGAGGAAGGAGGCCAGGCTCACCCCATGCTATCCCCTATGCAGGGGCCAGAGAGGGGATGCTGGGAGTGAGGGGCAGTCTTCCCATATCCTAAGGACTTCCCCTCTCAGGGTGCCTTCCATCTACTCTGTATAGATCCCGAGTCTGCTTCGTGCCGTTGTCTCTCCCGCTCCCACTCTCATTTGAATGTAAGCTCCCTGAAGCCAGGAACTCGGTTTTTTGTTTTTCTTTGCACAGGGTTTGGCACACAGTAAACACTTAGTAAATGCTTGTTGCCTGGGTATGTTCCACCTCACCCCATTTTCCAGATCCCTGTATTTGTTCTCTTCTCCCAGTAAATGGAAGCTTCCTGAGGGCAGGGACAGTTTTTGCCTCTTTGTAGCCCCAGCAGTTAGTACAGTGCCTGGCTCATAGTAGGCACTTTTTTGCTGTTCAGTGGTTCAGTCAGGTCCCACTCTTTGTGACTCCATGGACCATGGCACCCTAGGCCCCTCTATCATCCACTGTCTCCCAAAGTCTGTCCAAGCTCATGTCTGCTGCCTCTATGGCACTATCTAACCATCTTATCCTCTGCCATCCCCTGTTCCTTTTGTCTTCCATTTTGGCCAACATCAGCATCTTTCCAAAGAGTCCCATCCTCTCATTATATGGTCAAAATATCTACGTTTGGTAGGCACTGAATCAATGTTTAGTGATTGATTGATCCTAGATCCTGGATGAAGGCCTGATCATCAGGGCTATGGGCTCAGAATTAGGGAAGGGGGGCCAGGTTAGCAGATGGACACTCAGGAAGAATTGTAGTGAGAAACACCATCCCCCCAACTCTCAAAAGCCCCTCATCCTGGTTCATACTCTGTTGCAAGCAGTTTTTTGGTAATCCAGTTTCTTCGAACAAACAATGCAAATCTGCGATGGCCGAAGAGGTAGGCACAGCTCACAATCCCACAGACAAACCTGGAAGGAGAGGGCAAGAGGAACCCTGAAGTCCAACTAAGATCCCCTCCCCCTCTCCCTGTCTGGAGGCCCCAGAAATAGCTCAACATGACTACCATTGACTTGTATCTGTAGAGCCCAGGGTTCTTAGTGGAATTCCTCCTTGAGGAAAGGGGGGATTGGCAGGCCAGGGCCACCCTGAAAATGGGGTGGGCTGTGCCCAGCCAAGGGCCTACTCTTCCTTCTGGGTCTTTTTTGTACTTACTCACCCAAGTAATATAAAGAAGAAGATTTCTGGTAGGTCAAAGGGTATATCTACTCGGAATCTAGTCTTGAAGAGGGGGGTGATGGTTTCTGGGGAAAACATGGAGTAGAAAGGAAGCATACATCAGATCCTTAGCTTACTGTACCTTGCCCCCATACCCCAACTTATCAAGTCCCTACAGGAGTGTCTCCTTCCCCAATAGGAAGTCTTCAAAAACTCTTAGCCTGACATTCAAGATCTTTTACAACTTGACCCCTACTGACATTGTATCCCACTGTTCCCATAGAATCACAGAATCTCAAACCTGGAAGGCACTTTGCTGTTATTCAGTTATTTTTCAGTTGTGTCCAACTCTCCATGACCCCATTCTCAGTTTTCTTAGCAAAGATACTGGAGTGGTTTGCCATTTCCTTCCCCAGCTCATTTTATAGATGAGGAAACTGAGGCAGACAGGACTAAGTGACTTGCCCAGGATCACACAGTTAGGAAGTATCTGAAGCCACATTTGAACTCAGGAAGATGAGTCTTCTTGAGTCCAGGCCTGGTGTCATCTTAGAGGGTGTTAACTTAAACACCTGGACAGGTAACCCTCCTACTATATTGTAAAGAAGTAGTCATGTTTAGTATATGCTTAAAGAGCGCTAAGGATGGGGAACTCATTACCTGACTTTTACAAAGCACCCCATTCCTCTTGGAGTTATCCCTAAGGGTCAGGACATTTTCCTGACATCAAGCCTCAGTGGGCCTCTTTGTCACTCCCATTCATTCATTACTCCTAATTCTACCTTCTGGGGCCATGAAGAACTAAGTCAAATCTCTCTTCCACCTGCTTAAAAAGGTCCCTAGAGACAGTGGAACAGAAATCCCTTGAGCAATCCTGAACATAGACCCCTTGAGTTGTTTTTCCTGACAGAAAAAGTCCTCCTAGGAGGATGCTCAGATTCTACCCACCTTGCTCACTGTTGAAGACAGCCAAGAGCCGGAACATGAAGGCCCCACAGACCGAGGAGAAAAAGCCCCTCCAGTAATCCCAGACAGCAAAGTGGGAGGACATGACCTCAATGCTGAACAGGACCCCTGTGGCGGAGGGGCCAGACAGAACAGGCTCAGTGCAGACTTTCCACCAGACCTGATGGTTAGGGATAACCTCACCCCCACCACAGCTGGAGTTCCCAGCTACAAGAGGAACCCTCTTTCCCCCTTCCCCTACTCACTCCCAGACTGGACATTATCTGACCAAAAAGGACCTATATTAGCTCAAATCCCACCTTCTACAGGAAGCCTTCACTGATCAAGCCCTTTTCAGAGTGTAGCAGACAGAGCCCTGAGCCTAGAGTCAGAAGTTATAGATTTGAATGATGAAGCCATAGATTTAGGGTTAGAAGGGACCCTGAAGGTCGTCAAATCCAACCCCATCATTTTACAGATGAGGAAACTGAGGCCTAGGGAGACAAACCTGGATTTGAACCTTGTCCTCTGACTCCAAAGCTGACCAGCTCTCTAGTTCTGCCTCTGCCATTTAGCCGTGTGAACTTAGGGAAGCCCCCTTCTCCTCTGCGTTTGAGTCAGAGGGACTAGTATTAAATCTCAGCTCTTCCACTCACTACCAGAGCAACCCTGGATAAGTCATAGGCTCACAGGATCAGAGCATCACAGATTTAGAAGTGGAAGGGACCTTAGATGTCTTGAATTCCAACACCTTTATTTTCAGTTGAGGAAACTGAGCCCAGAGAGAAAAAATAATTTGCCAAGGCCACAGGCAGAGTCAGGATTTGAACCCAGGGACTCTAATTCCAAATTGCCAAATTTAAATACTCTGGGCCTCAGCTTCCTCACCTGCAAGATGGGGATAATAATCCTTTTACCATCAGTACCACAGGCATGTGAAGAGAGTGCTTTGCAAAGGGCAACAGCGATAGGCCTTTTTCATTACTCTCTGCATTTCTAAAGCACCTAGTATGCGTACCACCTAATTGAGTGTCCAGTTCTAATGCTGTTGTGCAGTCCTGTCCACCTCTCTGTGACCCCATTTGGGGTTTTCTTGGCAAAGATACTGGAGTGGTTTGCCATTCCCTTTCCCAGCTCATTTTACAGATGGGGAAACTGAGGCAAACAGGGTAAAGTGACTTGCCCAGGGCCACACAGACAGTAAGTGTCTTTTGCTGGATTTGAAGTGAGGAAGATGAGTCTTGCTGACTCCAGGCCCTGACCTCTACACACTATGGTGCCACCTAGCTGTCCCTAATGTTCTAATAGTTTAGTTCTAATAGTGTCTTACATTGTTTCCCATTGGCTTTCTTGTCTCATCTCCCCCAATTAGATCATAAACACTTTAGAAGGGACTTCAACTTTCCTTCCTCCGTCTCCTGCGGAGGTTTGGGCATACGGCATGTGCTTAAGAAGCACATACCTATTCATTAGTTTGACTCAACCAGAACACAGCTCCCTGGATCCCAGGCAATGGGGCAGGGGCAAGAATTTGACTGTCCATGCCACCCTAGGGTCAGGAAATTCCCGAGATGGGAGCCCATGGATGTTGGAGAGGAAGGAGTCTGGAGTGAGGGAGTAAAAACTCAATGGCAAGGTCCCTGGGCGGGGGCACTGTGGAACTCTGTTCTTCCCCTCCCCCGTTCCAGGTCTCACCACTGATGGGTGCCCCAAAGACAGTGGCCACACCCACTGCTGCTCCAGCCACCAGCAGCTCATTCTGCTTGATCTTGTTCTGAGAAGAAAGACAGACCATGAGACCTGGTGCTCCTGGGACTTTCCTTGCTTCGAAACACCCCCAGTTCTGAATGTCCCCCACCTTGGTTGCAAGAATCATTTAAAACCAAAGCTAAGAGGAATGTTTGTACTGAAGCTGAAGCTGAAATATTTTGGCCACATAATGAGAAGGGGACTCATTGAAAATACCCTGATGTTGGGAAAGATTGAAGGCAAAAGCAAAAGGGGAGGGCAGAGGGTGAAATGGATAGAAGTGTCAGGGAAGCAATGACCATGAATTTGGACAGACTTTGGGAGACAGTGGATGAGAGAAGGGCCTGGTGTGGGGTCACAAAGACTCAGACGCAACTCAGCAGCTGAACAATAACAACAAAAGGGACTTCAGAATGTTGAATGTCCAGGCAGGAAGAAAACTTGGAAGAACACAGAATGTCAGAGCTGGAAGGGCCCTTAGAACACAGAATGTCAGAACTGGGAGGGCCCTTAGAACACAGGATGTCAGAGCTGGGAGGGCCCTTAGAACACGGGATGTCAGAGCTGGGAGGGCCCTTAGAACACGGGATGTCAGAGCTGGGAGGGCCCTTAGAACACGGGATGTCAGAGCTGGGAGGGCCCTTAGGACACAGGATGTCAGAGCTGGGAGGGGCCTCAGAACATAGAACATCAAAGCTGGGCAAGACCTCAGACTATTATGATCCAGCAGTTTACCTGTGATATCCCACTTTCCCAATCTTTCCCAGACTCTTCAGCCAGAGCCCAGGGATTTCTGGAGCAGAGAGCCAAATCCCTGAGAAGATGAGCATTGAACCACCCAAAACCCCAGACCTTACCTCATATTCTCCAAGGGCTGAAACTCGAACCTTGCCCAGATAGGCAGCAAGCATGCAGCTAATATGTGTGAAGGGGCCCTGGGAGGAAGAAGGACTGGATGAGCACACCCAGGCAGGCACGGCCCTCATGCAGGGAGCCCCACTCTCATCCCAGAGGCATATAGACTGTTCCCTGCCCTCAGGACACATACCACTTTGCCAAGAAAGATGGTACTGCCAGATGCCAGGGTGCAGGCAAGGCCCACCACTTTAGCCCCAAAGTTCTTGATGTCCAAGTAATCCTCCAGGACTACACCAGATAAAATGACCTTCATTTCTGAGATTCCAGAACCTAACAGAAGGGAGAATGTGAGGAGGAGAGAGGCAAGTGGTTTTATTGGGCCACATGAGGATCAAGAAGTTAGTCATCCCCTATCTACTGGTGATGTACCTGGGGCAAAAACTGGTAAGGCTAAGACTGGTATTTCCTAATTCGCTATCCTCCCTCTATGTCCCCCCCCCACCCCATAATCACAGGAAGACTGTGTGGTGTGAGCTCTGGAATCCCAGGACATGTATTCAAATGCTGCCTCTAATACTTGACCACTCTGGCCCTCAGTTTCTTCATCTGTAAAATGGTTAGACTAGTGGCCTCTGAGGTTCCTTTGAGCTCCATAGCTATGGTCCTATGGTTCTATGGTCCATCCCTCCTCACTTCACAGATGAAGAAGTTGAGGCCCAGAGATATAAATGACTTACCCAGGATCACACAGATAAGTGGCAGAGCTAAATTTTTGAATCTGGGTCCTCTGACTAAACCAGACGCTCTTTCTATGAAGAGATCCAGGGCTTCCCTCATAGGCACCTGCCAGTGGGTCTCCTTTATTTCTTTGACTTTCTAACCTGATACCCCCAAGCCAGGGTATCACCTTGGTCAGCACCCCACCCCCCAAATACTGTCCTGTCATGGTGCCCTAGATGTACTTAAAAGTCAAGAGACCTGAGTTCTAGTCCTGGCCCTGCTACTGATTCAGTACAAGATCTTATCTTGGGTAAATCTCTCTCCCTCTCCACCTCAGTTTCCCCATCTATAATAGAAGATAATGATATCTATGTGATCTCTTTCATTGAGATGAAGTATTGGACAGCACTTAGAAAAGTATAAACCAACACAAAAATTCAGAACACTACCAGTAGAAGGATAGCACAGGTTAGGAAGGAGCATGAGCTCCATTGAGCATAAAATCAGGACACGTGAGTCAGGATCCTAGCTTGAACACTTATTAGCTGTGTGACCATGGGTAAACCACTAATCTTCCCTGAGCCTCAGTTTCCTCTTCTGCTTAAAAAAAAAAAAGCTTATCCTGCCTTCTTCACAGAGTTATTATGAAGAAAGCATTTTGTAAAGCCTGAGAATTCCTATTACTGTTATTATCTTTCCCCCCAGAGAACAAGTACTTTGGGCCATAGTTCTTACCTCCAGAGAAAGGGGTGATACTCTGGGAAAAGCCAGTGGAGAAGGAGACCAAGGCTATGGGATACACAGTCCAAGACAGGTAGCGGAGAAGATGGTTGTCCCCAATTTCTCGATACAGCCACATGTGCGCTAAGAGAGGACCATGGGAGTTGCAGGGCCAAAAGGCCTCGCCAGCCTCCAGTGTAGTGTTGGGAAGACGCCCTGCCTGCCATTCTCCATAGAATGAAGCTCCTGGCTTGAGTGGGTGAGTCAGTGTTAAGAGCCACCAAGGAGAGGGTAAGGTTGGGGTTGGGGACAATGGGTGGTAACCAGAAGGTATGGTCAGCTTCTCACTCAAGATGGGGGTGTTTGCTGATGACTTCAAGAGCAACTTTGAGCAAGTCACTTGCCATGTCCAGGTCTGTTTCCTCCTCCACAAAATGGAGGAATTGACAACTTTGGACATTCTGTGTCCTAAGTTTACAGAGTCTTTGGGTCAATTAGAGCTTCAGGGGTCAGTTAGTAAAGCCCCTACCTGGAGAGGAATTTCCCCTACAACATCCTGGGCCTAATGGTTCACCAACCATTGTTTGAAGACTTCACTACCTGCACCTCCCAAGGCTGCCTATTCTGCTTTGGCATAGCTCTGATGGTTGGGAAGTTTTCTTTACACTGAGTCAAAATCTGCTTCATGAACTTTCAACCACTTTCAAACTTGTTCTGTCCTGTAGACCAAACAGAATAGATTGAATCCCTTTTCCATTGGACAGCTCTTCTAATACTTGCGGACAACTATCCTGTCCTCCCTAAATCTTCTTTTCTCTAAGCTTCTCAATCCTAGTTCCTTCAAACTCTTCTCCCATGACGTGGTCTCCAGGCCTCCTACCACCCTGCTTGCCTTCTTCTGAATGTGACCAAATTTGTCATCATCCTTCCTATCATCTGGCATCCAGAACTTAAACCAACAATAGCCTGCCCCTCCCCCAACACTCACACAGACAGACTGTGTCCAGTCAGAACAGAGTGGTCCACTAACATTCTAGATTCTAACATTCTCTGTTCTGAAGTCCATCTCAGCTCTGACATTTTGTGTTATAAAGCCCATCTCAGCTCTGACATTTTGTGTACTAATGGCCCTTTCAGCTCTGACATTCTCTGTTCTGAGGTCCCTCCAAGTTCTGACATTCTGTGTTCTAAGGGCCCTTCCAGCTCTGACATTCTCTGTTCTAAGGACCCTCCCAGCTCTGACATTCTCTCTTCTAAAGGCTCTCCAAGATCCAACATTCTTTGACTCTGAACCTTCCACAACCATTCTTCTGGAAGAGAATGGGGAGGATTTTCCATAGGGAGGTAGATAAAAGGGGAGAGAAAAAAAGATGGGAAAGTGGATATGGCACTTCTCCCCATGCCAGGCAACCCACATGGCATTGCTGATGCCCCTGGGCTAGAACCTCCCCATCACTCTAAAGATATAAAAGGACAGAGCAGCTCAGGCTGGCAATGCCCATAGTTACCATGGATGACTTTGGAAACAACAAAGTTCATGGTGAAGCTGATGAGACCCATGAGCACTCCTAGGCCAACCAAGAAATACCAGTCTTCACCCACCCGGAAGAGCTGTCTCTTCACTCTCTCCAGGACGCCTGCCAAAATGGAAGAGGCAGGGTGAAGGTTAGAACATTCAGGACAGAGGTTGAGAACCTGGGGCCTTAAGGCCACATGTGGCCTTCTAGGTCCTTAAGTATGGCCTTTTGAATTTGAATTTGAATCCGAATTTTACAGAACAAATCCTTTTATTTTTATTAACTATATTTTTTGTTCATCTTTCATATTTTTATTTTATTTTAAAAATGAACATATTTAAAATACCAAAGAATAAAATAAGTTTCAAGAAAATAATCCTGCCATACTGACTGGCACGATTACAACATTAGTAAGCCATAAGGGCTAAATTGACAGCTGCTATGCTTAGGATTTAAGTCTAACTTCCCCCACCTGACTGGTGCCACTACTTCACGAGGCTGTTGGTGAGAGTTTGTGGACCCGAGTAAGCCAGTTTGTTATCAGCTTTTGAGAACAGTGTACTATGTTTCTGTTTGAAATGGAATTTGTGAATAGTTGTGCAGCTCAACAATATTTTTTAATTCTGTCTGCTTAACAGCCCATCATGTCAAAGAAGACCAAGAGAATGCTGAAGGAAGAAAATGGATTTTTTAATGAGGAATGAGAATTGCAATATTATCTTGTTTCTGCTAAAGATAAGACAATTTGCTTGCTTTGTGATACTGTAATATCAACATTAAAGAAATTCAATGCTCATCAGCATTATAACACTCAGAAGGACCACAAATATTTTAAATTAGAGGGAGAGGTATCAAAGGTTATACTGCAGATATTAAAAGATGAAAAGCAAAAGCAAAGACAATTCTTTCAAGCAGCAATAAGACTTGGAAAAAATGCCACTGAAGCAACTTATAAAGTAGTTTATATACTTGGGAAGAAAAGGAAGCCATTCAGTGATGTAGAAATTGTTAAAGAATGCATTGTCAAAGTTGTAGAATGCTTAGATTTCTATAATGTTTCAAAGTACAAACAACTGCCGCTTTCAAGAACCATAACTGATCAGAATCATGAATTAGCCTTCAACTTATCAGAACAACCTCATGCAATACTTCAAAAAGAAAATATATATTATTCAATCACTTTGGATGGAACTGATACCACTAACTTGGTGTAGGTTTTATACTTCATTCGGGTTGTAACAGAAGATTTTCTTTGCTTCAAAGAGTTACTTATTTGGGCACCCTTGTGAACAGAATACAGGGGATAGATACCTTCCACCACTTTCAAGAGAAATGTCATGAAGTTGGACTGAATTTGGAACATCTGGTGCACGTATGTACAGACAGTGCACCTTCCATGAGAAGAAAACATGAAGGTTTTATTGCACAGATTTAAAAAAAAAGTATTAACAGATCCAGATGCTCTCATTTCTTTTCATTGTATCGTGCATCAGCAAAGCCTCTGTGCTAAAGCTACTATTTTAAGTGACACTTTGCAACAAGTTATAAGTATTGTTAACTATATTCGTGTAAATGTAATATGATGTTGTCAGTTTTGTAACATGCTAAAGTTGAACGATGGGGTATTCAGTGTGGATTTGCCACATCATTCTGAAGTGCATCGGCTATCACAAGGACAGGTGTTAGCCAAAATATTATCTCTGTGAGAACAGATAGTTGAATCTTTTTTTTTTATATGAGGCAATTGGGGTTAAGCGACTTGCCCAGAGTCACACAGCTAGTAAGTGTTATGCGTCTGAGGTCAAATTTGAACTCAGGTCCTCCTGACTCCAGGGCTAGTGCTCTATCCACTGCACCACTAGCTGCCTCCAGATAGTTGAATCTTGTGAAGAACAGAATCGGCAATGTGAATTATTGAAAGAAGATTTTTATAGGAATGATACATTTTTGGGTGATATCATGTCAAATCACAATGATTTGAATACTTCCTTGTAAGACAAAACTAAGTCTATATATGATATGTGGCAACAAAAAAAATCCAGGCATTTCAAAAAAAGCTATCTTTTTTCAGAACACTTCTTCTTCCAAAGGAAATTTTGGATGAATATTTTCTCCAGTTAGCAAAGGTCATTGATAAGCAAGATGATATATGCAAATCATTTGAAGAATACACAGCTGTTTTAGACCTATTAATTGAAGAATACAATGAAAGGTTCACTGACTTTGAGAATCATGACATCACACTCAAATTAGCATTTCAGCCTCACCTAGTTGATATCACCAAGGCACCTAAAGAACTACAGATGGAATTGATTGAGCTCTCAGTAAATGACATTTTAAAGTCCTTGTTTGATGCTAAGGAAGATCCAACTGAAATATGGAAAAATGCAGCATAATACCCACGTCTTTAGCAACATTCCTGAAAAATGCTTTCTTGCTTTTCAACCACTTATTGCTATGAACCTCTATTCTCCTACCTAACCCAAATCAAGATGACCTTAAGGTCACAAATGACTGACACCCATCTAGAGGATGAACTGAAACTGTGACCTCCATGCTGCAACCAAATATTCAAATGCTTTCCAACAAAAAGCAGACATAAGAAAGTCATTAAAAGGTTATTTAAAAATTAAGAAATAATTTTCATTTTTTGAAATTAAGTACAAAGTAGATTTTTACAAAATAATGTACATTTCTAATTATATCTAATTGAAGTTTCTTGAAAGCAGACTTATTTGAATACAGCTAAATATTCATTCGACCTGCTTCAGAGCATAGGGATCTAAAGGTTGTTGGAAGGCAGTGGCCGAGGTTGGGTTAAGAATGAACTCCATGTCAGGGTAGAAGTCTGGTCAGCATGAGGCCAATCGCAGGGGAAGGGAAGGGGAAAACCAAAGAGAGTTAAGGCCAAGGTGGCAGAGCCTGCCAACCTCAGGGCAAATACGTGTCCAGTCTCAGGTTGGGAAATGTCACTGGGTATCGCTGAAGAGAGCCAACAGTATAATGAGGCATCTTGCCAGCAGAAGGTGTCATGGCAGCTGGCCCCATGCCAGGGCAGATTTCTACCCAGCCTCAGGTGTGAGAGAGGCAATGAGCATGAATGAGGGGAGCTAGAACCAGATGAGGCCATGCTGCCAGGCTGAAGAAGATGGCCCCGAGGGTGGGGGTGGGGGGTTGTGTTCAGCCAACCATGGGGTTATGGTTGCATGGAGATGGGTGTCGCCAGCTACTTCCGCCCCACCTCCCAAAGAATTGCTGTGATAGGGTATTTATAGCCTTGTGAGGAAGAGGGAGGCAGGCCCTCAGTGTCAGCTCCTGCTTCTCATAAATCTCCTGCCACTCTACTGCTAAGAGCAAACAAGGAAGCAAAGTCCACCCCCCAGGTGGGTTCCAAGACCAGGGATCGGACATAGGGTTCCAGCTACCAGGCAGGAGACAGAGGAAGCCTCTACCCACCCCAGGGGCCCAGAGGTTCCCTCCCTCCCTCGCCCCAGGCCTGCCTCCAACACCTGCCCTGACCCTGAGCCCTAGGCTAAGTACCTGGCACTCCCATTCACCAAAGAAAAGCATCTTCCCCACCTCAGCGTCCATCAAAGACAGGTCCCCAGGGATGAGCTCAACTCTCCAAAGACCGTACCCCTCGGCACCAGTTCAGAACCGTTTGCTTGGCATTCACTGTGGGGGCCCTACCTTCTTAGCCTTATCTCCTATGACCCCCTTACACACACATACACACACACACACACACACACACACACACACACACACACACACACACATACACTATACCCTCAGGTTATCCTCTACACCCAGAATACTGTCTAGACAGAATACTGTTTGCCACCAGAACTTCCCAGATAAAGGATTAGTACAAGTGGGTGAGGGGGTAGCACTTCCTAAGGTGCCCACAAAGTCTAGCCAAAGGGGTGGGAGCCCCAGGCTGAGTCTCCCAAGGCAGGCAGTGGAGGGAGGGGTAAAGGGGAGGGAGGTTCAGGTGGGTGGTGGGGGAGGGGCAGGAGGTTGGGGGAGGGGCAGGGAGGCCAGAGAACACCTGACTAAAGAACAGAGAGCCTTGTGGCTGCCTCCCTGCTCTTGCAGGCAGCAGAAGGAAGCTGGGGAGCCTCACTTCTCCCCATTCCCAGGAGATACTTGGCAGTGACCGTGCAGGGGACAGATGAAAGGGGGCTGGCCAGCTCAGGGGCTGAGGTTACAGGCTGTGTCCTAGGGGAGGGGCTATTTTTAGGGGCTGAGGTGGTCTCAGATAGAGAGAGAGAGAGGCCACTAAAAAAGGCAGCAGGGAAGGGAATAAGCTGGAGGGGGAGGGTAAGAGAAAGGCAAGCTGGGGAAGAGAAGTGGCCAGGTCAGGGAAAGAGACAGAGCCCAGATACTCCATGACCCTGCCCCCTTGCTCCCTTGGTGAGCAATGGAGTTTGGCAGGCAGGGGCCTCTCACCTCTGATTCTGCGCTGGGCTCTGGGGCAGGGACCCCAGAGCTCCTGCAAGGCCACAGGATTCCCTGAAGACCTCTCATGAAGTCCCACCAGATGCTCCATCATAGGGCCCTGTGTGGAAGAGACAGGAGGACCCTGCTGGACAGCCCAGCCCCTCCCTATGGCCCAGAGAGTTGAGGCCTTCCTCTTCTGATCTGGGTGGGCTCTCTCTCCTAGTAGTGACCACCCACTCACATCCCACCCCCCAGCATCATGCAGCCAGTGTCCAGCCTGAAATTCAGCTCAGAGGGCTCAAGGAGAAGTGGAAAGAGAATCAATTTGGCTCCCTACTGTGCCTCTCGCCTCAGTTAATGCCTCTGGGCCTGAGACCCTCATGGGAAACATGGAGTAGATCATCTCTAAGACCCCTTTGGCTCAGACATACTCTGTTCTAAGAGCCTGATTCCTCCTTCCCCAAGGCCCATTTCAAATCTTGCTCTGATGAATGTGTGTGTATACAGAGGAGGATTCAGAGCTGAAAGAGAGATGGAGGAATGTGGGGGGTATATTTGTATGTTTGGGTGTGGCACGTGTATATGTGAGGGTATAGTGTGTGTGTGTGTGTGTGTGTGTGTGTAGTATGTGCATATGTCATGTATGTGTGTGTGGTATGTATATTTGTGAGGGTGTGGCATGTGTGTATGCATATATTTAGGGACCAGTCTTCTCTGAGAATATGTGAGTCCATTTCTGTGTGTTTATATTTCTGTTACATGCCTTTTTCCTGTATGTGTGTGCAGTGTGTCTGGGAGCAGGCTTTAGGAGAGTTCTCTACCTATGTCCCTCCAGCCTGGCAGCAGGAAAAGCAGCCATCACACGCAACATCCCCCAGACCACCCAACCTCCCTGGGCCCCTCTGCCTCACCAGCAGGCATTGGACCTCCTGGCTGTCTCCGGCCACCCCACGTAGCCCCTGGGAGCAGAAGGAGGGTTACAAGGGAGACTAGATCGGGTCCCTGAATAAAAGGAGACACTCCCTTCTGCCCAGAGCCAAGCTGTGTGTGTTGGGGGAGAGGAGCAGTCAGTGCCCGGGCAGTACCTACTAAACAGTTCTGCCCACCTGCCATTTAATCCCTATAAGACAAGCTGGCCTTGGGTTGGCCCTTGGCTTCCAGGCTTCTTTCCATCTCTCCTCCCTCAGCAACCCAAAGAGAAGAAACTTGTTCCAGAACTACAATGATAGGAATCACAGCTGGAAGGGAAGCTAGATCTCACCTGGGCCAGCTCCTTCATTTTATGGAGGAGGAGAACCAGAGAAGGGAAGGGACTTACCCAAGGTCACAAAGCTAGGACACGGGAAAGTAAAGAGTCCAGTCCAAGTGCTCTGATCCCACCAGCGCTCTTCAAACAGACTTCCCCCCGAGACTGCTTCACTCCCACAGACACACACACTATTCCACAATGCTCCACAACTATCCAGACTTCCCCAGAGATCCTATTTGTTCGGGCCCCCCACATCCAGAGGGCCACCTCTCATCAACTCACTCTCGTCCTCCCTCTGCCCTCACAGACCTTCTGCTCTGAGAGTCTCCCCCTCTGGCTCAGCTGCACCTGGACAGGTGTGAGCTCCACCAATGAGCCTCTTCCCCCTCCCCAAAGCCTGGAGAGTTTACAGTGGCTATTTAGAATGTCCTTGACAAGTCAACCTGAACAGGACACACCAGTTACTTAAGGCATGGAGGGAGGGAGGTAGAAGTAGGAAGCCGAGGGTCCAGCTCATGGCTTATTAGGCCCCAGCCTCCTCCAGAAGGCAATGAATCAATGAGCCCAGCCAGCCCACAGAGACAATCTAAGGTCTGTGTCTGGTGCTGAGAAGCCAGCACAGGGAGGCCAAAGGGCTCCATAGTTCAGTTCACAGAATCAGAGATGGGGCGGGGGCAGGGGGAAGAGGGGCCACTTAGAGGTTTTCTAGCCCATGTCCTTAGTTATACAATGGAGGGAACTGGGTCTAGAGAAGGGAAAGAATTTGGCCAAGATTACACAGGTAATTAGTAGCAGAGCCTTCAGATTCTAAGCCAGGGCCTCTGGCTGGAGATGCAGTGAGGGACCTTTGTTTGCATGATGATAACATCATTTGGCTCACAGCATGGAAGAGCAGGGAGCGTCCTTAGAATATGGAATGTCAGAGCTGATAGGGACCTTAGAACACAGAATGTCAGAGCTGGGAGGGCCCTTAAAACACAGAATGTCAGAGTTGGGAGGGCCTTAGAACATAGAATGTCAGAGCTGGGAAAGGCCCTAAAATGTCATAGGTAGAGAGACCTCAGATATTATTTAGGTGGTTGAAACTTCTTTATGTCAATCCTAAATCCACACTTTTTCAGCTCCACCCTCCACCCCCAGTATACCTAGCTCATTGCTCTGAGGCCAAACAGAACAAGATTATCTCCTCAGCCCAAAGACCAAATGCTTCTCCCCAAGTGGACCTGAAGGGAATTAAAAAGTAGTTGGGAAATATTTAACAAATAAACAAAAATGCAATAAGGCATAGATAAGATTACATTTTGAAACTAAAACAATATATGGTGGCAGGGATCCTGACATACAGATTAGTGGCCCCTGTTTCTATTTCAGTTTGATAGCATAGATTTACAAGTCCTTGTTCAGTCATTTTTTCAGTCATGCCTGACTCTGACCCCATTTGGGTTTTCTTGGCAAATATACTGAAGTGGTTTGCCATTTCCTTCTTCAGCTTATTTGACAGATGAGGAAACTGAGGCCCAGAGAAGGGATGTGACTCACCTACGCTCATACAGTGATCAAGTGGCAGAGCTGGGGCTGGAGCACAGGTTTCCTGACTGCCAAGTCCATATTCCTGGCCCTTCCTCTAGATCATCATCAGCCTCAGCATCTGAATCACTGGCTACAGTGGAAAGTGTGCTTAGACATGGAGACTGAGAACCTGAAGTCAAATCTTAGCTCTGACACAAGCTGTGTGACCTTGGTCAAGTCACTCAGTGCCTCAGTTTTCCCATCTGTAAAATAAGGGGGTCAGACTTGATGACTTCTAAGGCCCCTTCCCTCTCTCAATCTGTGACCCTATGATTCTAACGAATGGCTAGAAATGAGGTTCTTCTAGATACCCTGGGGGATATCAGCTCAGTCTTAATCCTCCTCCTTCAGATTCCCTGTGTTCTATGAAGCTTGCTCTCCCCAGCCTTCCTCTTCTGTCTTTATTGTGTGTGTGGGGGGAGGCAGGGAGCCTCTAGGCCTGGGTTGCTGGGATGGAGGAGGCTATCTGTGCTAGGCACACTGAAGGGAACAGTGGTGCCTGGGATTGAGGTCAGGCATAAGGGCTCTTCCTCTAAGAGGTCAACCTCCGGCTGGGCAGGAAGAGCTAGGCATATGTGTACCCCCCCCCCAATTATTCTGGGAGACTAGGAAGAAGAGGGACAAAGGGAACGTCCTGGTGTGCCAGCCAGTTGGAGCTATAGGCTAAGACAGTTGCTGCCAGAGGCAGGGTTTGGGCTGTCAACAGGAGAGCCTGGGGCCTGCCAGCAGATCCTGTTACTGTATACACAAGGAGCCAATGAGGGCAGGGGGGCCAGGGAGAGGGTGAGGCAGAGAGAGAGGGCTATTCTTTTCCCTCTCAGCATCTAGGGGTCATCACAGCAGTAATGGGGGTATGTTGGGGGTCATGGAGGTTATCATCATCACATATCAGAGTTACCAGGGTCCTTCCTCCTCTTGAAGGAGCTGCAGAAGCTGCAGGGAGCAGGGGTGCCCCTGATGGATATTTCCTGAGATTCCTGCTCTCCAAGCTTGGCTGAACAGGTGGTCAGGTATGAACTCCCATGGCTGGCCTCATGGGCTCTGTCATATCAATCCTTGGTTCTGAACAGGTACAGCTCTAGGTAGGGGGAAGAGTTCACAAATGGAGTCAGGCTTCTGGTCCCACTGGGATGGGTGACAACATTCCTGTGGGCACTCGGTATTAGGTATCCAGCTCTGGCCCAGTTGTAGGCTTCAGCTGTGCTCATTTGGGCACTTAAATGGTCACTAAGGTCCCTTCCAGCTGGGTTCTAAGGTCCCTGTCAGAGCTGACATCTTATGATCTAAGATCTCTCCTGCTCTGACATTCTATGTTCTAATGGCCCCTCCCAGCTCTGCCATTCTCTGTTCTAAGGACCCTTCTACCTATAACTTTAAATAATTCTGGGACACGGGTTCTGACCAAAGGCATTGGTATAAACTGGGTGACCTTCCAAGGCCCCTTGGAACACAAATTCCCAGCATATGTGTCAAAAGTCGAGAGATCTAGTTCAAGGGGAAGGAGAAAGAGGGAGGGGGGCTGTCCCTTCCTTGGGGCTGGGCAACATAATCTGTCACCCAGGAATGGTGACTCAGGGCCTTGCCACCATGACGGTGTGTCTGCATTTAGCTGGACAGCTCCTGTTTCCCTGTCTGGAACCTTATTCCTGGACTACTCCTACCCACCCCCTTTGCACAACCCCTTCCCCTCCATCACTGGCACAGTTCTGAGAACAGTGAGTCAGACTCACCCTGGACAGTGAAGAATCCCTGGGCTAGATCTAGGGAAGAGGGGTAGATGCCGGGAACCCCTAAGTCCAGTTGGAGCAGAGTGGCCTAGACTCCTGCCCAGCTGGTACTCAGCTGGCAAGGGAAAAAGTATAGGCTGGCCCAGAATGTCCTCCCACAGGGACCCCTGAAGTCCTTTTTTTGCCCCATTTGGCCCCTCTCCATCCCTGCCCCTCACCCCACCCCCAACACTGCATCTGGAGCCGGCAGATGTGTCTAGACCAGCCTCCTCCTCTGTTGGATTAGGGGTTAGGAATCAGCTCACTTCTAAGATTTCTCCCAGCTCCGTCATTCTCTACTGTGAATTTCTTCCTACCTTTGCCATTCTGTGCTCTAAGATCCATTTGAGATATAAACCTTATCATTCCATTATTTCCTTTCATTCTTCTCTTTGGCTGTGGGGCCTGCTTTGTGGCCTTGTCAGCCCCAGCTACAATCATCCATCCCACAGTCTGATGATGCCTCATGTCCAGAGTTCCAGATGAAAACTGGGAGTATTAGAGGCAGAAAGGTTCAGTCCATGCCCTCAGAGCATCCCCAGTCTGAAGCAGGGGACCCAAATGCTGTCCTAAAGAGCAACTAGTCTCCAAGGAGACACAATACTGCCCTCATGGAGAGCCCCTTCCCTTGGGGTCTGTTGGAAAAATCCCATTTCTGCCCCCAGAAAACTCCTGGACAACAAGAGCCCACGAAAGTCTGAAAAGGGAGAGATCCATGTGGATGGCAGTAGTCTCATTCCTGGAAGAGGTAGGCTTTGATCTAAGCTTTAAGGGACAAGTAGAATTTCAGTCCACAGGGTAGAAATGGAAGGGCCTCCTAAGAGGTAGAGACCAGCATGCCCCAAGACCATGAATAGCAGTGAAGTGATAGAGCTGGCCCTGCCCTCACCCTAGGTCCTAACACACTCCATAGTCCTCTTCTCCCTTTCCAGGCTGCCCAGCCTTTCATGGAGTGAAGAAAGCCTCCAAAAGGATGGGAGGAGCACCTAGTCTGGCCCATGTCTCCAGGCAGATACGCCCTGGTACTTACCATGTCAGGCAGAAACTTGACCCATGGTGCCATCTCAGAGCTCTGTACTCATTCTGTTCCTGTGGTTACTTATCCTTGGTGTGGGTCCAGGTAAAGGCTTTCTTACTGCAGGATCCTAAAACTCTTACTATGTACAATGCCCAGCAAAAAATATTAAATGCCTACTATGTGCCAGGCACTGTGCTAAGGTCTGGGTGTTCAAAGAAAGGCAAAAAACAGTCCCCTTCTCTCAAGAGGCTATAGTTTAATGGGTCAGATAACAAGCAAAAAAATGTGTACAAACCAGCCCATATACAGGATGCTCTGGAGATAATAGAGAGAAGGCACCAGAACTGAGGCATATCAGGAAAGGCTTTCTGTAGACAGTGGGATTTGAGATGAGATCTGATGGAAGCTGAAGGCTCCAGGAGGTACTGACGAGGCAGGAGAGCATTCCAGCCATGGGGGAAAGCCAGAGAACATGACCAGAGTTGGAAGATGAAGATTCTTGATGGAGAACAGCAAGGAGATCATAGTCATTGGATAGCACGAGATATGTGCCTATGGTGGTGAGAATGGTGGGCGGTAGTAATTCTTGGGTCCCTAGCTCCAGCAGAACCTCCATGTAGGCATGGCAGAAACTTTATTGGGGAGCCAACCTTGGCCAGAGCTATCCTTTACTGTGATACCCAATCAACTGAGGCTTGATCTCCTGTGTGTGAGCTACACTCTGGACACTGCCTTTCACCAGCTGGGCTAGCAGCAGACAAGGGAGAAAAGCTTACTTATACCTGAGGCCAACCCTTCTGCTGGGAAGTAGAATAAATAAGGTTCCATATTCTAAGATCAGAGATCTATCTTGCTGAAATGAAAATCACTGGAAACCCAGAAGTTCAGCTTCATTTTCCCTAGCCACAGAATTTTTGGGGCAGCACAATGACTATTGTATAAGATGGCTGGGCATGTGGAAGATAGGGAAAGACCAGCTTTTTTACAAGGCAGGTAAAGAGTCATAGGCTGCTGAGTCCCACCTCAGCTCCTCTCCCTCGTGACAGAGGACCAGAGGTGCCCAATGGACACTCCCAGGATCCTGGATGTTTGCCCAATCTTTTCTATAGAAGATGTTCTACCCTGGGTGGGCCATTGTAGCTAGGGGAATGGGGCAGAATATGCTCTGATCTCTAACCCCTTGCAGGAAGAAAACAAAAAAAGAATTTGCTAAAGCTGCCCTTGGAAATTAAAGGAGAGTGAATGTGATGGAGTGAAAGGAACCCTGGGGGCCTGGATTCAAATCTAGATTTCTGCTACTTCCCACTTTGCATGACTTTGATCTAATCACTTACCCTAGCTGGGTTTCAAACATTTGCAAAATGAAGAGATTCTGTGTAATACACCAAGAAATTTATTAAGCGTGCACGCGGCATCAGGCTAGAACAGAGCCCCTAAAGGCCAAATAGACAGCGATCTCTACCTTCTAGGAGCTTACATCCCCCTGAATTGGGCAAGATGAGCTCTGAGGACCATGACGATTCTAGACCCTATGACCCAGAGGAGAAGGGAGTGGACTTAGAGGTGGGGGCTGTGTCAGTGAAATGAGATGCAGTGAGCTGTTAGTAACACAAACCACAGAGGCAGTGGTAGTAGCAGCAATAGCCTGGTTCCTTGATCAAGATAATAGGACAGGGCTGGTGGGCTCCACACCCTTCTCCTCCAGCAGGCCACCTTATTTAGGAGTTGGGGGGTTTGCCAGGTCAGCAATTGCCTTCTTCAGCTAGAGGAAAAGAGAAGATTGGTGTGAGATGTTTGAGGGTAAAGGAGATTATTCAAAAACCAAATAACAGCGTTCCTCTGGTCCCAACTTCCTGAAGATTTTTCCTCTTGTCCTGGCCTGGGACCTAGAACCAAATCCTAGAATCAAATCCCTACTGGGAACCCTGAGACCTGAGTTGCCATTGGACAAGGTGTTAACCTAGAGCAGGGGTGCGGAACCTAAGGCCTGGAGGCCACATGTGGCCCTCGAAGTCCTCAAGTGCGGCCTTTTGACTGAATTCAAACTTCATAGAACAAATCCCCTTAATACAAACCTTTGTTCTCTGAAGCTTGGATTCAGTCAGAGGGCTGAATTGAGGACCTGGAGGGCCACATGTGGCCTCTAGGCCTCAGTTTCGGCCTAAAGACTCCAGGAGACAGGGCCCAGACCGTGACCACTGGAGTTGCTTCAGATCACTGTCCACCCCTGCCTGCTTCCTCCCTCCCCATCCCTGGTACCTCCACCCAGGAGATGAAGCCCACCACTCGGCCCATCGATGTCACCAAGATCCTCTGCATTTTCAAGAGTTCAAAGAGGTTGTGGACCTGGGAAGAGAGAGGTGGGTTCAGTACTGCAAAGGGGAGGGATCCTGGAAGGGTGAATTTAGCAAAGCTCCAAGGAAGAGCTGAGCAATGGGGGATGTGTTGTAAGAGAAAGGACTCTTATATCCCCTTTGGCAAGACTCTCCTTCACACTGTGCCTCAGTTTCCCTAGCCTGAAAGAGGAGGGGGTGAGGGTGGGCAGCAAGGGAATGAGCACAAATCCATGTAACTCCCAAACTGGCCAGCAGAGGCCACCCTGCTCCCACAGAAGAACCTTCCCAGATACAGGGAATTAGGCTGGAAACTGGACCACAGGACAGGGCATAGAGTGTAAAGGGAGCTTAGAGGTCTAGTGTGACCCCCTCATTTTACAGAGGTGAGAACAAACCCAGAAAGCTGAGGTCTCTTGCCCAAAGTCTAAAGCGTACAGACTTCTGACCTAGGACAAGTTACTGACTCTGGACTAGTCAGCACACATTTATTGAGCACCTACTGTATGCCAGGCACTGTGCTAATCACTAGGGGTGCAAAGAAAGGCAAAAACTGTCCCTGCCCTTAAGGAGCTCACACTGTAATGGGGGACACAACAAGTAAATCAGGAGGTACAACAAGATTGATACAGAATACCTACACAGAGTAGGTGGAGGTAGGATGAGTAGGTGAGGCCCCTGGGTTGTGCAGTGGATAGGGTACTGGACCTGGAGTCAGGAAGACTTAAGTGCAAATCCTGCCTCACACATATTAGTTGTGTGATCTTGAACAAGTCACTTCACTCTTCCTGCCTCAGTTTCTTCATCTGTAAAATAGCACCCACCTACCAGTATTGTTGTTAAAATAAAACTTGATACTATCTATAAAGCACTCTATAAATGCTAACTATGATCTCTAAGATCTCTGGCTCTACACATATATTCCTATGAGTTTTCCATACCCCTCCCTTCTCCCTGTGCTGACGATGGTCCCAGCATCTCTTATGCTGATGATGCTCTGAGGGCCAATACATAGAATTAACAACAACTTGCTATTTATGCCCCCCACCAATGTGAGGCCACATTTCAACTCAGGTCTTCCTGATTCCAGTACTCTGACCACCGAGCCACCAGTTCCTTTATCAGGGAAACATTTCATCAAAACGAATCTCCACAGTGACCAGCCACCCTTCCAAAGGACTCATGAGGAAACATGCTATCTAGCTCCAGAGAGAGAACTGATGGACTCAGACTGCAGACTGAAACAGTTTTTTCCTCTTTCTTGTCCTTTTTTTTTAATGTGGAATGCAGAAATTTATTTTGTGTGACACTACAAATTTGGGGATTTTGGTTTTTTAATCATTATTAAATTTTATTTTTAATTTATGGAATAAAATAACCATTTCTATAACAGTACAATAAAAAGATAATTGCTCATGAAACTGTGAATCTATTACATAAAACTTGCTATTCCTTTCAAATATACAACAAAATGATCATGTAAATTCTTTTTTAATCAATTTCATAATAGATTTTCTTTTTCTTGCCTTCTCCTTAAGTGGGGGGGGGACAGGTTTTGAAACTGAAAAAAAGAATTTTAAGTCTCTGTGCTATAAAAGAAAATAAACATTTCAAAAAGAAAGAAAAAAATGCATCTATAATGCGCCCAAATGGATCCCTCTCTGGTGCAGCAGATTCACAGAACATCAGAGCTCAAGAATCCAGTAGAATGGGAGCTCCTTAAGGGCAGGAAGTTTCATTTATTTTTTCTCTTTGTATCGCCAAAGCACAATGGCTGGCACATAGGAGGTGCTTACTAATGAATGTGTGTTGACCTTAGAGACCCATCCCATTCTACCCTGGCATTTTACAGATAGGGAAACTGAGGTCCAGAGAAGGGAATACTTGCACAAAATCACATAGTTAGCAAATGACTGAGCCAGAGCTGGACCTGAATCCAGGTTCTCTGACTGCAAGTCTCCAGCCCACAGCTCACTGCCTTCCCTTAGCTCTGATCCACGCTCTTTGAAATGCCTTCCTGGTAGCACACTGCTCTCTGCCACCCCCTAGCGCATGCCTACTTAGTTACCTGGTGTAGGGAAGTCTGGGGTGACAGCTGTAAGGTCACAGGTTCCATAGGGCAGCCCCCGGCCAGGACCTCATGGAGACGCCACTTGGAGAGTGAGAAAGGGAGGGGTGAGGGAGTGGCAGCCAAAATGTCCTGCCTGTTCCATCCCCGCTACACCTCCCACCAGACTGGACTAGATAGAAAGGACATGGGAGAGATTCCTCCCTCTGTCTTTCCTCCCTCCCTATTTCCTCTCTTCCTACCTCCTTCCTCCCTCCCTCCATCTCGCCCTTCCTTTTTCTTTCTTTTTTCTTTCTTTTTCCTCCTTCCTTTTCTTACTTTTTCTTTCTTCATTCATTCCTCCCTCTTTCCTTTTCTTCCTCCTTTTCTTCCCTCCCTCCTCCCTCTCTTTCTTTCTCTTCCTTCCTCTCTTCCTCTCTCACATCTTTCCTTCCTTCCCTCCCTCCTCCCTCCCTACTTTCTTTCTCCAAACCTGTGATTTTATCATATATGGAGCTCCTGGTGGAGAACGATCTCTGTCAATGCAGAGTTTATACAGTCTCTGCAAATTAGAGAGTCCTCTGGGCGATGAAGAGATTGAGTGCCTTACCCAGAGTCACATAGTCCTTATGTGTCAGAGGTGGGACCCCAATCCAATTCTTCCTGACTCCACTGAGAGCTCTATGTATGAAACCACACTGCCTACCCATAGTGAAACTTTTGGACAGGTTGCCAGTTGGAGGAGGGGTTCCCTGTTGCTCCTTATGGCTTTGAGTCCCTCCTCCTCCCACCCCTGACCCCAGCATCTGCCAGCCCAGTCCATCAAGCCCTCCCATGGCCTCAGCCTTCTCCCCTCTCTCCACATTATGCTTCCTCCTTTAGAAGAGAGATTTGGATATCTCCTCCCACCACCCTTACCTTGGGTGGGTGGCTAGGCTTGGGCATTGCCTCCATCCCCTTCACCCACCTGGTGCCTGCTTGCCTGGATGGTTGGCTCTGCCTGGAGGAATGGCAGCAGCTGGTCCCTACGGATGATGCCCACCAAGAGCTGGGATTCTGGACCAGGAAAGAGAAAAGGGGAGAGGAGACAGGAGCATTTGGTTGGGTGAGAATTTGGGTCAGTCCTCACTGAAACTGGGTGGAGGGACAGGGCAGGGCAATGCCCTCCAGAAGAGCTGGAAGAGATAAAACAGTCCATTGAGGGAGGAGCAGGAGAAGGGGAATTAAAGGGGAGGGGGACCTTTGTGGAAAGACCCAAGGTGCTTTTCTTCTGGTCTCCCCACCAGCCCTGGCTTAGAATCATAGAATGTCAGAGCCGGGGGGACCTTGTGGCCTTCTAGAGCAGTGGTATCAAACTCACATAGAAATGGGGGCCACTAAATGATGCATAAAATCCCTGACCGCACATGTCGGCCTAGGAAACCACATATTAACATCATTTATGTTCTGTTGCATTTTTGGTTTGTTTTGTTGAACATTTCCCAATTACAATTTAATCTAATTTGGCCCCAGTCACAAGTACTGAGTGTTTGCTACCTTTGATTTTTCCTAGTCACATAGCTGGAGTGGAATTGACCTAGGTTACTGCCCTAGCTATTTATCTGTCTTTCCTGCCTCCTGTCTACCCCCTCTGTAATCGTCCCTCACCCCACTGCTCAGATAACCTCCCCACTCCTCTGCAAACCCAAAAGCACTACGTGAAATGGTAGCTCCTGGGAGGCATTCTGGGACAGGGGAACACAGGAGTAATCTGGAGTTGTGAACCTGTGGCCAAATCCTGTGTGAGTCTGGTCATGTCCCTGGCCTCAGGTTGCTTTGTCATCTGCAAAATGAGAACTCCCAGGGCTCTTTCCATCTCCACATTTGTGAGCCTACAGTCGTCTATTCAAAAGCCTTCAGTGACTCCCAGAGGTCCCCAGAGCAAGCCTGATCCTGGCATTCAAAGCCTTCTATGCTGTCTCATCCTTCCTTTTCTCAGTTCATTCACATCACTTCCTCTCATGGACATTGTCCCAGCTGAACTGGACTTTTAGCCTTGAAGAAACCTCAGAGACCAACCAGTGTGAGCCATTCCTGATCCACCAATCCCCTATAAAATAGCCTGGGCCCCCATGGAAGCTTCTCATCCCACCTTGGGACAGCTCGAATTGCTAAAAAGCTTCTCCTGACACTGAGGCTAAGGCACTTTCTGTCTCTCTCACTCTCTCAATCCTCTCTCTTCTCTCCTTCCTCTCCTCTCTTTCTCTTCTCTCTCTCTCTCTTCCTGTCTCTTTTTCTTTCTAGCTCTCCATCTCTCCTTTCTCCCTCCTCTCTTTCTCTCCTCTGTCTGTCTCTCTCTCACCCTCTCTTCTTTCTCTCTTTCTTCTCCTCTCCTCTCCTCTTCTCTCTCTCTCCCCTATCTCTGTCCATCTGTCTGTCGCTCTGTCTCTCTCTCCATCTCCAGCTTCTACTCATTGCTCCTACTTGCCCCTGCCCTCAGGGACCAAGCAGACTAAGGATAGCCCATGGGCTAGCCCATGCCCACAAGGTTTGAACCTCAAGGTTCAAATCAAGTACTCTGCACTCCTCCATGAAGCCTTTCCTGACCAGTCGCCTTCTCACCAGGGGAAAAGTAGTTTCCCCCTCTTCAAATTGCCCATTACAAAATTAAGTGTAATGATGCCTTGGGTGATAATACTCGTCACCATAGATATAGAGACAGAAGGACCTCAGAGATCATCAAGTCCAACTGTCTCATTTTATGGAGGGGGAAACTGAGGCTCAAGAAGTGACTTAGGACTGTAGATGTAGAGCTGGAAGGGCCCTCAAATGCCATGAAATCCAATTCCCTCATTTTACAAAGGAGGAAATTGAAGCTGAAGTAACTCAATGAGGTCACAAAGGTAGCTGGCATCTCAGGTGGGATTTGAATTCAGGTCCTCTGGCTAAACATACTATACTATTTGAATCTCTCCATTATACTTCATCACTCTCTCCCTTATATCCTAGTTATGTGGGCATTTAGCCTTCTCGCCATCAGAACATAAAGTCCTTGTGGGCAGGGTCAGTATTGTATCTTTCTATCTTGGTAGCCCCATGTTGACCATAGCACCTTGTATACAATAGGTGCCTAGTAAAGGTCTCTCATGCTTCCAACCCCAGCCTTTTCTCCTCCAGGCAGGAGACTAGACAGAAAGGAAAGGGAATTCCCAGCCTCTCCCTCCCCCCAGAGGTCACCTGCACTCTCCACCAGGGGGTATTCAGCAGCTTCAGTGGAGGTCACGGTTTGGACCACCTCGTCCAAGGAGGAATCTTTGGCCAGGGTGGTGATGTTTGGGTTCATGAAGAGTTCGGCAGTCACCAAATGGGAGCTGTGGGCAAATGAGACCCAGTCAGGGAAGGAACCAGGAATGACCCCTTGGGTAGAAATACGGTCCTTTTGCTACCATGGGAATCTGTAGAGGAGGGTGTCGTGGCAAGGAGGGGTGGAGATTCCCTTTGGTCTAGGCCAGAGACAGAAGATGTAAGGAATCACTAGAGCTATGTAAGTATTGCTAGAGCTGGAGAATCCATTAGAACACAGGATGTCAGGGCTGGGAGGATCCTTAGAACACAACATGTCATAGCTGGGAGGGCCCTTAGAACATATGATATGAGAGCTGGAAGGGACCTTAGAACACAGATTGACATGCTAGGAGAGTCCTTAGACCAGAGAATATCAGAGCTGGAAGGGTCCTTAGAACAGAGAATATCAGAGCTGGGGAAATCCTTAGAATGTAGACCATCAGAGCCAGAAAGATTATGGGAACATAGTCCTAGAGGTGGAAGTGCTTTTCAAGCCTCTCTAGTCCAAACCACTCATTTTACAGGTAAGGAAACTGAGGACCAGAGAGGAGAAATTCCTTGCTCCAGGTCACATAGTTAGCAGCAGAGAGCCCAGGTCCTCTGCCTCCAGGCCAGTGCTCTTTGCAGGACAGCAGACCCTAGGAGAGAGTCCTAGGCCTTCCTCCCAGCCCACCAGTCAGTTGGCAATGGTTAGGACTCACTTGAGTTTGCGGCCTAGGACCCGGGGCAGGTAGGGAAGCTTCTTCAGGATGATGCCATTATCGTAGAAGGAGGGCTGGCAGTTCTGACACACAGCATTGGCTGCCAGCACAGCCATCAGTACTGGCAGCACGTGGACAAACTGGCCTGTCAGCTCGAAGGCCAGCAGGGCTGTGGAGATGGTGTGAGTCACTGCTCCTGAGAAGGCAGCAGCTCCTATCAAGAAGTTGAGGGGAAAGCAGAATACAGGCTGAGCTAGCAGTTAGCCCCAGACCACCACAACTCAATCCCCTCTGTACCTCCTGGAACCTCTGAGTTTAACAGGGGTGCTGGGGAGGAGTCAACACCCAGCACTGAAGGCCTAGATCAGAGTGAGCCTGAGACACTCCCAGGGGAAGGGAAAGATTTTGTCCTTAAGCAAGATTGGCCTTGGACCAGAGCCTGCCCCATGGTTCCCGTTCATGTGACTCTGAGGCCAAGCTTAGCATCACTCTCCAGCCACAAGCAGGCTCTCCTCAAACTGCCCCACAGGCTCAGGCATGGTTAATGCTCTTTGTTCCCACAGGGAAATTTACCTGCCAGGGCATATGCACCAGGGATGATGGTATTGATGACCCCATCATCAGTCTTGATGCCCTCTGGGAAGATGACAGCTAGAATCTCACCAAAAATTCGTCCAATGCTGGCCCCTGGCAAAAGTTGGGAGAGAAGTGAGGCACGATCTGCTCTACTGCCCTAAAGGCCTTGAAGTCTTTCCATGTGCCCAAACTGTCCTTAAGATAAAATTATGGAGCAGAGCACCCTCAGTCAGACAACTCCCCAGAGCTCTAGTCTTCAGAATCACAGAAATACAGATTCATAGCATTTAGAGTGAGAAGGGACCTTGGAAGTCATTGAGTTCATTTTACAGATGAGGAAACTGAGGCCTATAAAGTGTAAGTGCCTTGCCCAAGGTCACATGGAGGGAGGATCATAGCTTTAGAGCTGGTCTGTACAATCAAATGCCATAATTTATAAATGAGGGAAATGGATAGAGCCAAGATGGAGGAGTAAAGGCAGAGACTCACCTGAGCTCTCCCCCAAACCTCTTCAAATATCTTTAAAAATTACTCTAAACAAATTTTAGAGCAGCAGAACCCAGAAAACGATGGAATGAAGCAAATCTCCAGCCTAAGACAACTTGGAAGGCCAGCAGGGAATCTCTGTTGTGCCTGGGTGAGAGTACAACACAGTCCAGTGCAGGCTGCACCAGCATAGCCCCAGCCTCAGCAAACCAGGAACAGGCCTTGGGAGTGACTGAATTATCAGTGGCAGTAGCAGCAGCTGCTTCCAGAGCTCCCAGCCCACAGACAGCAAGGGTGTTGAACAACTGGTTGGAAGGAGATTATAGGGGTCTTTTTTCTAGCACTGAGGCAGGACTCTGTGGCTTTGCCCATACTTAGATCTGGGTTGAAGTTCTAGGTGGCTATCTCAGGTCAAGGAGCACTGGCATAGCAAAACTTGTGCCCACAGTGGAGCACCCTCCTCACAATTCCAAGGCAGAAAAGATTACTTGTGGTCACTCACAGACCAGAGCACAGTCCAGGAAAGAAGTAAACACCTCTCCTTAGATCAAACTACCTTGGAAGAACTAAAAACTTGCATGTTCCTAGAAGTATCTCTGAAAACAGCTGAACAAAACCCCTGAAGCTTGGGATAGTGCACTGTCTACCATGGAAGAAGAGCCCCACTTTAACAGAGAGTTAAAAGTCAAGTAATAGGCTGGGAAAATGAGCAAACAACTGACTATAGAAAGTTACTGTAGTGACAAGGAAAATCAAAACACACATTCAGAAGAAGACAACAAAGTCAAAGCTCCTTCATCCAAAGCATCCAAGAATAATATGAATTGGTCTCAGGCCATGAAAGAACCCAAAAAGGACTTTGAAAATCAAGTAAGAGAGGTAGAAGAAAAATTGGGAAGAGAAATGAGAATGCTGCAAGAAAATCATGAAAAACAAGTGAACAGCTTGGTAAAGGAGAGACAGAAAGTAACAACTTAAAAAACAGACTAGGCAAATGGTAAAAGAGGTCCAAAAAGCCAATGAGGAGAAGAATGCCTTAAAAAGCAGAATTGTCCAAATGGAAAAAGAGGGCCAAAAGTTCACTGCAGAAAATAATTCTTTACTTGCTTCTCAAAATCCTTTTTGAGCTCTACCATGGCCTGGGACCAATTCATATTTTTCTTAGAGGCTTTGGATGTAGGAGCTTTGACTTTGTTGTCTTCTTCTGGTTGTATGTTTTGATCTTCTTTGTCATCAAAGAAAGAATCTATGATTTGACTTTTTTGTGCTGTTTGTTCATGATCACAGCCAATTTGAGTTATAAACACTTTGTTAAGGTAGGGGTCTGCTTCCGGTGTGGAGAATGGACTGTCCCAAGCTTCAGGGGTTTCGTGCAGCTGTTTTCAGAGATACTTCTAGGGACCTGTAAATGTTCAATTCTTCCAAGGTGGTACAATAAAGGGTGTTTACTCCTTTCCTGGCCTGTGCTCTGGTCTATGAGTGACCACAAGCACTCTTTTCTGCCTTGGAACTATAAGGAGGATTCTTTCTTCATCACCACTACAAATTCCACTAGTCCAGTGCTCTTCTTTACCCCAGGACTGCCACCCAGAACTGTGGCCCAGAACCAAGCATGGGCAAATCAAGAGAATCCTGCCTCAGCACCAAGTCACAGCTTTTACTCTGCCATCTTGGCTCTGCCCCTCAGAAAATAATTCCTTAAATATAAGAATGGAGCAAATGGAAGCTAACGACTTTATGAGAAATCAAGAAACGGGAGGCAGAGCCAAGATGGCAGAGTAAAAGCAGTGATTTACTTGAGCTCTCCCCCAAACCCCTCCAAATTCTTATTAAAAATGGCTCTAAACAAATTCTAGAGCAGCAGAACTCATAAAATTCAGAGTGGAATGAATTTCCAACCCTAAACAACCTGGATGGTTGACGGGAAAGGTCTCTTGTGCCAGGCTGGGAGAGGAGCACAGTTCAGCACGGGCCACGCAGACAAAGACAAGGACCAAAAACCTGGAGCAGGCCTCAAGAGACTGAATCAAGGGAAGCTGTGATGGTTTACAGACTTCTCAAACCACAAACATCAAAGATAACTTAGAAGATTAGTAGCAAAGGTCTGTCAGACCTCTGTGAGAGAGGAGCTCAGTCTGGCCCTAGTCCTACTGCAACCCCAAGGTGGTGGCTGCTTCTGTAGCTCTTGGCCCACAGATGGAGGGGGATCCAGCAGCTGATCAGAGGGGGATTACAGGGATCTCTTTGCTGGCACTGAGGCAACATTCTCTTGCTTTTCCCTTGCTTGGATCTGGGTCACAGTCCTGGGTAGCAGTCCTTGGGTGAGGAGGAGCACTGGCAGGGTGGAGCTTGTGGAAACAGTGGAGAGGGAATTCTCCTCACACTTCTAAGGCAGAAAAGTGAGCTTATGGTCACTCACAGAACAGAGCACAGGCCAGGAAAGGAGTAAACACCTCACCTTTGATCATACCACCTTGGAAGAACTGAATATTTACAGGTCCCTAGAAGTATCTCTGGAAACAGCTGCTTGGGACAGTACATTCTCCACACTGGAAGCAGGCCCCTACCTTAACAAAGAGCTTAAAAGTCAAGTAATTGGCTGGGAATGTGAGCAAACAGCACAGAAAAAGTTAGACCATAGAATCATACTTTGGGGACAAAGAAGAATAAATCATACAACCAGAAGACAACAAAGTCAAAGCTCCTACATTCAAAGCCTCCAAGAAAAATATGAATTGGTCACAGAGCTCAAAAAGGATTTTGAGAAGCAAATAAGAGAAGTAAAGGAAAAACTGGGGAGAAAAATGAGAGTGATGCAAGAAAATCATGAAAAACAAGTCAACAGCTTGCTAAAGGAGACCCAAAAAATACTGACAAAAATAACACCTTAAAAAATAGACTACCCCAAATGGCAAAAGAGGTCCAAAAAGCCAATGAGGAGAAGAATGCCTTAAAAAGCAGAATTGGCCAAATGGAAAAGGAAGTCCAAAAGCTCACTGAAGAAAATACTTTCTTAAAAATTAGAATAGAGCAAATGGAAGCTAATGACTGTATGAGAAATCAAGAAATTGTAAAACAAAACCAAAAGAATGAAAAAATAGAAGACAATGTGAAATATCCCATTGGAAAAACAACTGACCTAGAAAATAGATCCAGGAGAGATAATTTAAAAATTATGGGACTATCTGAAAGCCATGATCAAAAAAAGAGCTTAGACATCATCTTTCAAGAAATTATCGAAGATGGCGGAGTAAAAAGGTAGTCACTCTCACTCTCCCCTATCAACTTCTGAAAACCCAGAAAATATCACCCCAGAAAAAACCCTGGAACAACTGAGCTAGAAGAAAGATGGGAAGCAGCAGTGCAGCAGCCCAGCAAATGGGTCTCCCAGTGCCTCAGCAAAAATAGGGGGAAGCAGTACTACAAAGGGCCCCAGGCAGATAAGCACCCTGCAGCATTCATCTGAAAGGAGCCAAAGAAACAACCTAAAGTCTTCCTAAAGCCCCAGTCTTGCTGATTCCAACCCAACACCAGGTAAGCTGTCAGAACCCCGGGAAGATATCCTGAAGTCCAAGTGATAGAACAGGCAATCACAGACACCTGGACCTCCGAGTGCCTCAGTGAGGGTGTGGGGGAACTGGTGGAAACCAGCTCAGAAAACCACCAGGTGTCTCAGCACTCTAAGCAAAGGAATCTCCCAGTGCATTAGCAGAAATGAGGAAGGCAGCATTGCAAGGGGCCCCAGGCAGATAAACACCCTGCACCACCCATCTAAAAGTAGCTGAAGAAAGCTAAAGGAAAGGAAAAGCAGGCAACCTAGAATTGCCTGAAAGTTCCAGCCTTGCTGATTCCAGCCCAACACCAAGTAAGCTGCCAGAACCCTACAGCCTCCAACTGCCAACATAAGAGGCCCCTGCACACAAAGCCAGTGACCAAGACCTAGGCTCCCAACACAAGAAGCTTGGGTCAGTGCCCTCTGTTCCCCAGCAGGAGAGCTCAATCTCTTTAAAGGCCAGGGAATAAAGAAACCATGAGTAAAAAGAAACATACCATAGATTCATATTATGAGAAGAGTGGAAATCAAGACAGAAATTCTGAAGAGGACAACATTGTCAACAAACCCACATCTGCAACATCAAAAGGGAATATGAACTGGCCTGAAGCCCAAAAAGCCTTCTTAGAAGAGCTCAAGAAGGATTTTAAAAGTCTAATGAGAGAGGTAGAAGAGTCCTTAAAAAATACAATTGGCCAATTGGAAAAAAAGTACACTGAAGAAAACAAATCCCTTAAAAATACAATTGGCCAATTGAAGAAGGAAGTACAAAACTAACAGAAGAAAACAATGTTAAAAACTAGAATTGGACAAATGGAAACTAATAACTCTATGAGAGAGCAAGAATCAGTCAAACGGAAAAGAAAAAACATAAAATATCTCATTGGTAAAACAACTGACCTGGAAAATTGATCCAGGAGAGATAATTTAAAAATCATTGGACTACCTGAAAATCATGATAAAAAAAGAGCCTGGACAGTATCTTTCAGGAAATCATAAAGGAAAACTGCCCAGAAATCCTAGAACCAGAAGATTAAATAACCATAGAAAGAATACACCACTCACCACCTGA